AATAGAACCTTTTTGTATTTTGCATTCTGATTCTCTTCCACTGAGCCACAAAGCAGTTACACTAGGCTGGGCCATATACTCTCTGTCATTGAACCTACAGAAAAGCATTCACGAAAGTTATAGGTTGAGAGTAACTCGTACTGTAAAAAAAACTTACGCTCGTTAATTTTACGCCCAAATATATTCTACTCAGGTTTTCGCTAACCCGCTCATTTATGTTCGCTATGTTCGAGTTATTCCGATGGAATGGAAAGGGACGATCGCCATGAGGATTGAGCTTTATTCTTGTTAAGGTAACCTACTGGGGTCCAGTTGTGTGGCAATGGGCCGAGTTTTTTTTGAAAAACGTTTTCTGGGAGACGGAAGGTGTGGGTTGGGTAAGGGTGAGCTGTAATGGACTGACATTAGATTTAACCCTTTAGCTCCCACGATCTTCATGCTAATTCTCCCGTCTAGCTGCTACACATTCCTTGCAAATCAGGTACAAAAATTAGGTTTTATATCAGGATAACAACTTTTACCTGATAAGTTTGAATATTCTCATCACCTGTTTGCAAGATATATCTATGGATATTTTAGGAAAAAGTTTAATTTTAGTCACTTATGGGAGTTAAAGGTTAAGAGCGCTAGCAGTGCTCAGAAACCAAAGCGAGCCCCGGTTTAAGGCCAGTTGCCCTTTGAGTTTTACACATGTTTGTAATTTGTCATCGATAGAGCTCACGCACTTCACATAACATCCCCAACAGCTATATCTTTTTTACTAAAATACATTATTTGTTTTATGATAGAAAACCAAATTCTCTTTATTTGTTGAAAAGTGAAAGAGTCACAACTGAAGGGAAGAATTCACCCCTTTGGCGTTAGATTGCACTTGTAGTGTCACGTGACCTCTGATGTAAACAAACCGCGAAAGTTTGGACTTTAAGTCAACCACCCACGGCGCGAGTCCGAACTTCGGCTTCGGCATTTTGTCGTGAATAGTTTCCCTCTGTCGCGCCATGGAATAATAAAAAACATTCTTTGTACTGTGATGTATCTTCTCAGGTAATTTCAGGGCGTTGAGTGCGTTGATTGTTAAATGAAAACCACGTCTGATAGGAGATTATTGCCCACAGAATCTCGTTTCATATCGTATTGCGTGGAATGTTTTCTGTACGCAAAGGGGAAATCCTGCTAAATCCAGTTCAATCTTCAAGAGTAGTTGTGGCTTTGAATAGCAGATCACAAAATTTGAGACGGGTTCAACGCTATGAATGGGGTAGAAACTGAAAATATTTGCAGAAACGGGGCATTTCAGTGAGCAGATATTTCACAACTTTTTGTGTGGAAATCGCCTCCGCAGTCGAAAAAAAGGGTTCTATCAGTGTGTCCAAATTTCGAAAAAAGACGGCGCCACTACTTCAGGCAAATCAATAATTCATGATATGTTTATTCTCAATCTAGTTTTTTTGAAGACTGTGAACAATTTTAACGCTTCGCGGCCGTTTGGACTATAGGATATTTTTAATCATTTGATTTACTACTCCACCGCGTCAGGCATGGACTCGCCGCTTATAAATCATTCGAAGATTATCGCCTATTCGATGATCGTTTGTTACGTATCGTAAGCATCAGAAGTCTCGTGACACTACACGTGAAATCTAACGCCGAAAAGGTGAATTATCAATCAGACCCTGGAAGGCAGAGGAATCGGGAAAAACGACCAGAAATTATCTTTTACATGCTTGTTAATGCTGTTTTTGTTTCCTTATTTTTCATATAGAATAACAGCTGTTTGCGAGAAACATCACTGCAATTCAATCCCTTCTATGGCTAATCCAAAATGATTTTTGTTTGTGGATTACAAAGTACAACAGCAGCTTGATTCGCTGACTAACTAATTATTGGTCGTTTTAGCTTAATAGTCGTTATAATTCGTAATGTGAGGGATATGCACCAATGGCAGCACATTAAGACGCACCTGTAAAAACGAACGAGCGAACGTGCTCTTTTGGAGACTCGTGTTCAATCAACCTCAGTGCCTAACGAGAACCGATTGTGAAAACAAACCAATCTCTCGTAAAAATGTATAATATATCATGCTCTCTTCACCAATTTAACAAAGTAGTAAATCTTGTATCGTAGGAAAGAGACACATGTGTGTTCATTAAGGAAAAAGTGACAAGAAACCTCAGACGAGTTTGCATGCCGTTAAAACGTGTTTAGCAGTTGTAACTGATCAAATTATTTAATAAAGTATGTACCCCTAATTAAATTTGTAAGTAAGCAAATGAACCTTGCGAGTAAATGTGACTCAAATAGTCAGATTTAACGCTCAGGAATTGTTGAGAAATAATTTCACAATAAAGGAAGTTGTTACAACCCTGAAGGTTTCGACTTTTTAATGCAAAAATGGCTATGGGAGATTTATGGAAACAAACCATCACGAAATCATTGAAAGTCCTGGAATTTTTGCAATGGATGAATCTGATATTATAGTTTCTTCATTAATCAAATTGTAACACGTGTTTCTAGTAGGATTCGAACCTGAAAATTGTGACACGTGTTTCTAGCAGGATTCGAACCTGCAATTCTTCGTGTATAAGGCGGAAGTGATAACCACTCCACTACAGGAACGCGGCTTGTAAGCATGGCTTTGGCCGCCAAGAGCATCTCACTCATGGCGGGATATGACGTAGTCTTTGAAGGTCAAAAAAAGCTCTAGAGGCGTTTGCGATATCGGCGCAATTTTGATTTTATTTCTAGTTACTTTTACATTCGCTGAGCCGGGTTACAATTTGGACTAACGTAAACTTTAACGTCATTTTGACAGTGCACGTAGTGTATTATCGGAGAGCTCAATTTTAAATTTTGTCTCATTGCTGTTTATTGAATAAAGATTAAACTCACGCATACAATATTTGCAACTGCAGAAGACATGGCCACAAGCAAATGATGGCTTTGTATTGTTATTTTTCCTCGTGAAAAAACAATCATACCGACTGTTGCTGTTACATGATTTTATATTCAAATTAGGTATAGACTGCGTCCTCGTTATATGAATTTCTTTTCGTCAATCAGGTATCAAAGTTCCTCTGTCGTTCATATCACAGATTCCTGTTGCTATTTTAAAACTTGAAATGTTAGGGAAATCAAGAACTTCTTTGACATTGCAAACCGTAGGATGCTAAGCTTACAGAATGAAAGATTTGAAGGTCAATTCTGATAGTCGGATATTATGTAAGTTATAACGCTATGAGAGGAAAGAGTTTTCATTTGCGGCAACCCAATGAGATGTCGAGAGTTAAGAGAGATGAGCCACTTATTTTTGCAGGATATGACTGGGAGTAGAATCGCACTTATCCTCAACTCAAGTGTAATTGGCTATGTGTACGTAGTTTACAGCAAAGAGTGTTTTATTTATGAGAATAAGTGTTGGTTACAAAGAGAGTTTTTCTTTTAAGACAATAAATGCTGAATAAATTATAAAGAAACTGCCAAATACCAATTACCATTTCAACAACTACATTGATGCTTCTATAGTTCACAACAACAACATTTGAATGATAACAATTGATGAAGTGGACCTGAAATTTTAAGTGAGTATCAATTATTAACTTCACATTGGCAATGAGGCCTCTAGAGTTGACCGAAAAATTTAAATGGCGGACAATAACTGATAAACTAGACTTGAATTTTAAAGGAAGACAAACTTCACTGTTTTGTTTTGTTTTTTTATTTTATCATTCCTTGAATAAGATGATATATTTCAGTGTTTATTCTGGTAGAAATGGCTTACGAAATTAACACTTCGCACGAACAAATATTTCTTTTTAACTTTAATGAACGATTAAAATATTAATCATTCGGTTATTCAGCTCTCAGAGCATCCTTTCAATTAGCCCGTTCACTTGATTGTAATTGGAAAGAAAAAATATTAAAAAAACATCTCTGAACTCCTTTTAAATTATTTAAAATCCTCCAGAAGCTGTTAAAAAGCTGAAAGCAAAGTCTCGACTAAAAAAATACCGAAATGAATTTTCTTCTGTGTGTTCAACTAATCGTGTTCTCAGTTGTAGCTTCTCAAGCATTTCTTTGTAAGGAAGCATCTCTTTCTTGTCCTGTGATAACTCGGAATCATCGCCGACTTAAAGGCTTCACGCTCAAAACATTTCATTCGGCAAGCCTGATATCCTGTAGTTTGCAATGTCAGAGAAACCCACGATGCATTTCAACAAATTTCAGAAAAATATCCAAAACTGAGGGAACCTGTGAGTTAAACGACAGAGGAGTCTTCCCTCTTGAGGAAGGAAAAGAACTGGAATATGACGAAGAAGCTATTTACACTCAATTATACGAGAAGAAGGTAATAAAAATTTGTCTTATCTATTTAAATTATTGATCATTACAATGAAGTGGGCATCGTCAAAAAGTGTGTACATATCTGTTTCTCTACCGGAACACATCTAAAAAAAAAAGACGGAAAAGCTACGATCTTCGCTTTGTCACGAGAAGGAGAATAAGCTTACGGATGGATTCTCTGTTGGGCGGTAGCGGAATATTAGAACACGAAATCCTCCGACCTGAGATTTTATTTTATTCATGACATATTTTTGGTAATGTTTATCTTTTCGACGTTAGAAGTAAAAAATTTAACATTTCTCTTAACTTAGTAATGTGTCTATCCATTGATCCTCGTCTAGTTATATTATGGTGCAATGTCGGGTTTTCATGATGGATGATTAGCGTCGTTACTGCGAATGTTGCCTTAAAAAATAAAATGGGCCTTTTTCCAAATTTTCAGCATCTTTGGAGAAATGATACTTGCAAAGTCCTCCGAAGCACAATAATGTTTAGAATTACAATTGTGTTGAGTCTTCTCAAATAATTTTGTGGACTGAAAGAGGGTAACATTAATTTGAGACAAAAAATTGTAGTTTTTAGCTTAGGTTAAAAATTTATAGATGAGTTTCTATTTGATGATTAACCAAGATGACTAATTGATTTCCTGATAAGAAAAAATGAATATTTTCATGTCTGAGCAGCGCAACTGTCAGGTTTTCAAGGAAGAATTTAAATTCGTCAGCTGCAAATGTAAGTAGGGCTGAGAACATAAGATATTCTTAAAATTAACGTCTAAGATCTTGCACTTACATCACTGAGGAGTTATTCGTCTCAGTCTCCTCTTGTCTTTGCGTCAAGAGGCCTCCTGTCAATACTTGCGGAGTCTTCTATCGTCATGACCCTCCCTGAACCATTTCTGGACCTTATCTGCTACCTTCATAGTCCTCGAATGTGGTTTAAAAAAATAAGATTACCCGGGAAAATACTGCGAGGTTTATTTCTGAAAAGAAAAAGAAAAGATGAAGAAAATAAGAAGCTTCCCAAGACGTGTAAGATTCGTATTTTCCCAAATAAAACTCATTCATAATTTCAAATGCAATCTTTGCTTAAGCCGAAGCATTGCGAAACTTGTACGCGATAACCTTAAACATATCTAGGAATTTTACATGACAATCCCTATCCAAAAAAATCTGGATCCTCCTAAGGTGCCGCAGTATAATTATCGTCCTGGGTATGAGACGACCTCGAACATCACTCGAAGTTCAGAGTCTTTTAACATTCAGATAGTTCTTATCCGTTAAATTTTTTTCTAATTTGGATCTTTGAGACGAAATGGAAACTATAATCTGCACTGATTTTGATATTTCTGTTCAAACGTTGAAAATATCCGCAGTCATTAGTAGTAAACTTGTCAATATGTGTGATTGAGTTTCTCTGTCCAAAATGCAGGTGAAGAATCACCAAAAGGCCCAGTTCCCTTAGGTATGGAAAGTGGAGTTATTACTGACTCGCAGATTAGTGCATCTTCCGTGTATTATAATACACATGGCCCACAGAATGGTAGATTACATTTCAAGGGGGCCAAAGCCCCGTTGGCGTTTGTATCTGCTGGCTGGGCAGCTGATCTGCTAAACACCAACCAATGGCTGCAAGTGGATCTTCGGAATACCGCAAGGGTGATAGGCATAGCGACGCAGGGGAGACATGATTACGATCAGTGGGTTACTAAATACAAGCTACAATATGGCGACGATGGACAAACTTACAGTATCTACAGGCGAAACGGTGACACTTCAGATACGGTATAAATAAGAATGACTTTTTGAGCAAGATGTTTTTCCCTTCTATTCTTGCTGTGAGGGTGAACCAAAGAAAAAAAATTAAGAGTCCCCAAGAGTAAAAGAATATCAGTCCTTCGAATTCTTTGCTCCAATGCACCAACACTTCGCCACAGTGATCTTACAGACAGCTGAGCTATTACGAGGTCCATCATATATTCAAATATGAGCTTTTCTTTTTTTGCTTTTGGTGGGTCTGAGACGAGGTCGAGATACATGAGAACGCTAGAGAACGAGTAGTAAAAAATTAGTGAGATCAAACTGTACTCATTTATATCTATGTTTGTATTTGATTGCTGATGAACATGTAGAAAAGCATCAACTAAGGTTCTAGGTTTAGAGTTAGCGCTCCTGTGTAATGCATACATTCGTCAATTTTACATCCCACAATATTCTACTCAGATTTTCCCAGGAAACACTGACAGGGACACAGTTGTGTATCACGATCTTAACCCGGTCATTGATGCTCGCTTCGTTCGAGTTCTTCCGATGGAATGGTTTGAGTTTATCGGAATGAGAATGGAGCTTTACTCTTGTCAAGGTAAGTTACTAGTTGAACTGTTTATTCCTGGCTGAATTATTGTGGTTAACTCTCAGAAATGATTAACATGAAACTTCTCCCTATAATATCCTTACATTACCCAGCAAACAGGTCATGACAATATTCAAACTTATCAGGTAGAAGTTGTTATCTTGATCTTACATCAAATTCTTCTAACTAATTTACAAGGATATGTGTGGCAGCTAGAGGGGAGAATTAAGAATCCGATCTTGGGAGTTAAAGGTTAACGCATTGTACGCAGAGACATTCAACTTTACAACGACTCCTTCTTCAAACGAGTGAAACCAAAGGATCAGTGTTCTGGCAGTGGAAGGGGGAGGGGTGGGGGGGGGGGGGTGTATAGAGGTGGGGCAGAGGGCAGAGGGAAAACTCAGGGCAATGGACTGGTTTTAATTAAAGAGTAGTGCCCAGAGACTAAAAGGAACCCTGGTCTAAGGCCAGTTGGCCTCACGTTTTATAATGGTAATTGGACCGAGTAGAGTTTAATACGGTCACTATTTATACGAGTGATTAACAAAATCAGACGATCGCGAAGCAGGAGTCTGATTTGTCAATTACGAGTATGATTACCAGAATGAATTTGACAACTCGAGGCTCTGTCACCAACTAATCAAAACTATAATAACATTTGAGAAAGAGACTGGACATCGGTTATACGTCTTTATTAAAAGAAAAACAAAACAAGAGTAAAATCGGCGAAATGCGAGACAAAATCGCGCGTTTATGACGTGATCTGTCCACTTACGCGGGTATGACGTGTTAATTGTCCCTTTAACTGCCCTAGTACACTGTGCGATTACAAACATGACGCTTATAATGTCCTATTAGTGCTCAAATCGGGCCAGTGGTAACTAATCACGTTCGAGAGTTTTGTTATAGTTTTGATTACATAAGTAATTGCAATATGACAGTAAAGCTCAAACATTTTATATCGCATCCCTTTTTAATTTTTCAATTAATGAGCACTTAACTTCTTTTTAGCGCTTATTTTTGAATACATTATTCAGCAAGCATGCATATGAAAAGATGAGATGAATCTATCAGCTGATAGGTTTTTTTATGATAGAGCACCAAATTTTTCCGACTTGCATGTTTGCTGGTAAAAGTATAGGAGCTAAAAGGAAGAATTTTCAATCAGATCTTCAAAGAAGGAAGAAGGTGTTATTGACTCATCGAGACACTTGTCTTTCATTCGTGGTATCTTATTAAATTTTCATATATCGACGACAGAGGTGAAAACTTTCCATCTGTCATATTTTTCTTTGAATGTTTTTATCGTTTTGTCCTAAACTAGTTTGACGTGTATGCGGATAAAATGGTGGTTTTTTATCTTTTTCTTTTAAAGGCGAATGGACTACATTTCACTGAGTGCTGGTCCTCAAAATGTTGTACTGTCGTTTAAAGTAAAATGAGTAATTTTTCCAGATAACTGGGAATTTAAATCTAAGTATCATTGGAGTCAATATTACTGACTGACATTACATTTAACCCTTTAGCTCCCAAGATCTTCATCCTAATTCTCCCGTCTAGCTGCTACACATTCCTTGCAAATCAGGTACAAGAATTAGGTGTTAGATCAGGATAACAACTTTTATCTGATAAGTTTGAATATTCTTATCACCTGTTTGCTATAGATATCTATGGATATTTTAGGGAAAAGTTTCATGTCAGTCACTTCTGGGAGTTAAAGGGTTAAGAGCGCTAGCAGTGCTCAGAAACCAAAGCGAACCCCGGTTTAAGGTCAGTTGCCCTTTGGGTTTTACACGTGATTGTAATATGTCATTGATAGAGCTCACGCATTTCACATAACATCCCCAACACTTTTTTTACTGAGATACATTATTTCTTTTTGATAGAAAACTTAATTCTCTTAACTTGTTTAAAAGTACGAGAGTCACAACCGAAGGGAAGAATTCACCTTTTCGGCGTCAGATTGCACTTGTTGTGTCATATGACTTCTGATGTAAACAAACTGCGAAAGTTTGGACTTTGAGTCCACCACACACTGCTAGAGTCCGAACCTCGGCTTCGGCATTTTGTCGTAAATAATTTCCCTCTGTCGAGCCATGGAACAATAAAACATTCATAGCTACACAGTTACTTATTGATAAGTCGAGACAGCTTTTCCAGATAACAAATTTATTTAATTTTTACAATTTTTTCCGCGGCTCCATCGATGACACTATGTGTGTGAACCTACGGAAAAAAAGACATCCGTTTTAATTCTTAACAGTCCAATTGTTTTCTCCGAATAAATTATTCTGATGTTGCAGGCAGGTTGGTCAGAAATTAGACCCAAGTGAAAAACTAGTAACATCATACTGCAACTTTGGGCTCAATTACAGACTCGAGAAGGCGGCGGAGATCGACGGAATCGCACCTACGATAGCCGCAACTAGTATTGTCGTTCATTTTGCATGAAATACGTTTTTTACGAATACTTAACACAAAATAGTCATTCCCCGGTATTATGATTCTCCAGAATTTCCTAGACGGCTGGCTGAAAGGTCACAAACTGGAGTGCCAGCAACACCATGAAGTCCCTGTTTAAAGTTGACAGTTCCGGAAATGACCACTAGAACAATAAACTTCAATTTTTTCTATTTGAAGAGCATAAAATGAATCCAGAAGATACTAACCATCTCTCAAGGGGATCCATTTGTTGGGCGACCAAAAATTAGGGGAGATTAAGAAGAGTTAGTCCAAATTCACGCCATCTGCGAGTTTTAAAACGCGACGTAAGGAGATTTCCCTGTTTGAGAAATTGCTATGTAAAGAATGATTTGTTATTTATATTTATTAAAACAGACATGAATAAATTCTACTTACATCACCTGACTGGGCCAAGTGCCCTTCCAGGTACGCGCCCAGCTCCTCCAAAAAGTTGGCAACTTGGCCGTCAGTGAAAGTGAGCTGCAAAATGAAATGTTTGGTGATCTTGAAAAACTATTCTATGTTCGAAGCTGAGCTCAAGAATGTCATCGTTTTTAAGTGTCCAAATTAGCCTGAAGAATACGTTATTAACTGATCTTGAGATCCATATTAGTTTTCACGCAATGCGTGAAACAAAATGAAATTTTTGAGCTTACGAAGACTATCAACAAATCGATGTTTGTTCACTAAGACTGTCTGCGTGCGCTCATTTTACATCAGAAAGAAGATAGCAGGACTTGTTTCCTTGCTCTTGCATTGAAGCGCTTGCCAGTTGTCTCATTGACTAAAACAAGAAGCACAGCAGTCTTCATCTTTTATTTAGCGCACTTAGGTTGAGTGGTTAAGGCTCAGCAATGAAACTTGATGTTTGAGGTACAGTTGAAATCCTTACAACCTTTTTAGCCGACTCTTGCTTCCCTCCCTCCAGCCAAAACGAGCTTTTACGCCTTGCGCTCCTGTCCCCTCAGCTCTTCTTGTCGCTTTTCTACAAGGAGCAGATTTGTTGCTGCATCCCAGCGGTTTATCTTCCGATGGAAGTACCCCCGAAAGTCATCGTTTTTTTTTCTCAACGCCTGAAAATACGAATAACAGGGATCCATATTAGTTTTTCCTCTGCAGAATGAAATTTTTGTTGAACTTTCCCTACAAATCGATGTTATAAATTACACGAAGACTCTGTCATCTCCATCAACAAGCAATGAGTTTCTTATACCTTGTCCGCTAAATTGCTTCAGACTTCCGTGCTTTCGTAGCATACATGGCACATGATATGTTAATATATGCATGTATGGTATTACTATGATGGTTTGCATATATCCTGGACCACTTCCAGACATTTATGCAGAAACGGGGACTTTCAGGGAACGGATATTTAAAAACTTCGTTTGTGGAAATCGCCTCCGCGGTCGAAAAAATGGTTCTATTAGTGTGTCCAAATTTCGAAAAAGACGACGCCACTACTTCAGACAAATAAATAATTCATGATGTGTGTATTCTTGATCTACTTCTTTTGAAGACTGTGAAAAATTTTGACGCGTCGCGGCTGTTTGGATTGTAGGACATTTTTATCGTTTGATTTACAACCGCTACCGAGTCAGACAGGGAGTCGCCGCTTATAAATCATTTGATGATTATCGCCCATTCGATGATCGTTGGTTATGTATCGTAACCATCAGAAGTCTCGCGACACTACACGTCAAATCTAACGCCGAAAAGGTGAATTATCAATCAGATCCTGGAAGTCTGACGGTTTAGGCAGGGGAATTGAGGAAAATGACCAGAAAAAAAAAAAGACTTTATATGCTTGTTGATGCTGTTTTTGTTTTTGTTTCCTTATTTTTCATTTAGAATAACAGCTGTTTGCGAGAAACATCGCTACAATTTAATCCCTTTTATGGCTAATCCAAAATGACTTTTGTTAGTGGATTACAAAGTAAAACAGCAGCTTG